GCATCGGCCCTGAAGTCAGGAGGACCTGAGCTCAAATCTGGCCTGGGACCAAACACTTGACGCTTACTAGCTGTGTGGCCCTAGGCAAGCCACTTAACCCCAATTGTCTAAAATTCTGGAATCCCCTTATGTGGCCATAATCTTTTGTTTTCACATCTCTCCTTCTGCCTTCCCATACTAAACCCTACTCTTTGTCCACACTGTGACCTCCAACCCCTCTCCCAGGCTCTCTTGCCCTTTTTTTTTTCCAACTTGACTCCTTAATGAACCAGTTAAACTCTACACTGTCCTCTTCTCTAGAGTCCCTAGCCCTCTTATATCATTGATTGTCGCTGCCAAGCCTCAGCCTTGGATCACTTCCACCATTCACTGCCTTTATTCTTCTTACACAAGTGCTGCTGAACAAAAGGAGAGAAAATCATGTGACTGTTCTGACTAGGTCTACTACAAATTTACATTCCATAATTCTCAACTAGGCCCTCACTGCTCCTAGGCAATCCTACTATACCTCCCTAATTAGTTCACTATCTCATTTTCCATAGTGGCTCTTGCAAACCTTTTCATCACTAGTTAAATCCTGCCATGGCTCCACCTCTCCTCATTCTATCAGGTGAGAACATTGCCTCATATTCTACAGAAAAATATTGAGGCCATTCACCATGAGGTCCCATTTCTCTCCATTTTCTCATTTTATGTTACTCAGATGCCTTCCGCCACTATCTCCTCCTAGATTTCTATCTCATGTGAAGAGGTGGCTTTACTCTTTACCAAGGCTAACCCTCTACCTACACACATGATCTTCCTCTGTCATCTCCACTCTATCACTTATCTTCAATCTCACACTGTCTACTGTCTCTCCTACTGCCTATAATCATACCCATGTCTCCCCTATCTTGAAAAAACTCTCACTTGATCTTTCCATCCTCACTACCATCCTATATTTCTTCTGACTTTGTGGTTAAGCTCCTTGCAAAGGTTCTTTCTTCTCATTCTTTTCTTAACCTTTTACAATCTGATTTCTGACCTCATCATTCCACTGAAACTGCTCTCTCCAAAGTTACGAATGATCGCTTAATTGCAAAATCCAATGGTCTTTTCTCAATCCTCATTTTCCTTGATCTTTCTGCAGCCTTTGACACTGTTGATCAGCTCCAGTCATTTTCTATGGCTGTCCCCCATGTCTGGAATGCTCTCCCTCCTCCATTTCCATTTCTTGGCTTCCTTGGCTTCCTTTAAGTCCCAACTAAAATCCTTTCTTTTACAGGAAGACTTTCCCAACCCCTCTTAATTTTAGTATCCTCCATCTTCTCATTGGTTCCTATTTATCCTGTATATAGTTTGTACATATTTGTTTCTTTATTGTCTCACCCCTTAGATTGTGAGTTCCTTGAGGACAGAGATTCTTTTGCCTCTATTTCTATCCCCAACAGTTAGCACAGTGCCTGGAGCATAGCAGGTACTTAATAAATGTTTATTGACTAACTGAAATAAAAATGGAGATTGAAAAACCATCCAAAGTACAAATATGGATATGCTGAAACATTTGAAATGACTGTTTCTTTGAAGACCAGTACTGGGCAGAAAAGAATTTTGACAAATCCTAGGAAAATTAGTTTGGTATAAATGAAAAAAAAAATACTTTAGAGTACCTGGAAAAATATGCTAGCCTCACAGAAGAATGTGTTTAACAAAGTACCATAAAAATTTCTAAGAGAAAATGGTAGCTAGCATTTATATATACGTTGAGTTTGCAAAGATAAACATTATATCACCTCATCCTCACAACAACCCTGAAAGGTACATGCTAGTTTATATATGAGGAAGCAGCTAAGTGGCACAGTGGACTGATTGCCAGGCCTGGAGTCAGGAAGACTCAAATATGTTCAAATCTGGCCTCAGACACTTACTAGCTGTATGATCCTGGGCAAGTCACTTAACCCTGTTTGCCTCAGCTCCTCATCTGTAAAATGAACTGGAGAAGGAAGTGGCAAACCATTCCAGTGTCTTTGTCAAGAAAACCCCAAATGGGGTCATGAAGAATCAGAAACGACTGGAAAATGATTCAACAACAACTTTACATATGAGGAAACTGAGGCAGAGGTTAAATGACTTGTCATGAGTCATACAGCTAGTAAAGGTCTGAGGCTAGATTTTTACTCAGGACTTCCAGGGTCCAGGTCCAGCATTCTGTTCACTGTACCACTTAAAAGACTCCAGCTCTCAATTACATGCTACATTCCTTCAAAGCTCAACTCAAATGACAGCTTCCACATAAGCCCTTTCCTGATGCTCCCAGCTGCTAGTTTCCCGTTCTATTCCATTACTACATTATTTGGCACATGCTGTATAAACACACATACATATGTGTGTTATTATATATTATACATGTTAGATATACATATGTATATATGTGTGTGTGTGTGTGTGTGTGTGTGTGTGTGTATGTACACATTGTATTTCTGTGTTTATGGTTAAATGATAGTCCCCTGAAGAAAGGGACTATCTAACTTTGGTTTTTGTATAGTACCTAGCACAATTCTTGGTACAGTAGCAGACATTTATCAAATTGTTGATTCCTTTTCACCCCAAATTACTTGATATGTCATTCAAATTTCTTTATGTGTCTTTTCATATTTCAAGTGCTTAGACAGTGCCTCGAACATTGTAGGTACTTAATAAATGCTTGTTGATTTGAATTTGGATTCCCACAATTTTTAACCCAGTCTCCTTGTAGTGTTGCTCTGCATCCAGAAGAGGGAGTAGTTGTCTTTCAAATCACATACATGAGATGGCTGGATGGGATTCCACCTACTCGGCAATATCCACGTTGCCTACCAGTTAAATTCCGTGGACCAAAATTAAACTCTTCACGAGTCCGTGACAAACTTTATTTTAAACTGAAGACAACGTTTGGGCATTGCCACCCACATATTGGTCACCTTGCTGGGGGCTGGGAACCTCTGATTCTAGTCACTTTGCTGAACTCCACCTTTCTCCTTTTTAACTCATTCTTCTTCTGGCATTTTCCCCCTCCACCTTTAACATGTGCAACAAACTGAAACAAATACAACACTACGAGATGTCTAATAGAGATTGTCAGTTAATTCTGTTAAGGAACAGCTAGCTAGCTAGCTAGAGAAAGCATTTATTAAGTCCTCATTATACACTGGTCCAAGCCTTGTTGTTCTTAGAAATCCTTTTGCAAATTTTGCATAAGTTTTAAAGGCTAAGTTTCTTCTCCTTTTTTAACCTCCCTTCTCTGCCTTCTAATCTCTCAGCCTCTATCTTTCTCTCATTCTTATTATGCAAACATGGGAGAGCCCTGGGATTAGGAAAGACCTGGACTAGAATCCTAGCTCTGACAATAAGTGACCTCAAATTAAGTAAGTGACTTTTAACCTCTCTCATACTTCTTTGGTAAAAAGGAGAATTTAACACTTGTACTACCTACCCCACCAGTTGTTGTAAAGAAAGCACTAAAGACATACGGGTTATTACTTCACTTTCTGCCCCCTGCACTACACCTTTCATATCACTACCAGAATCTTTCTTAGCTTAGGTCTATGTCTATGTATAATGTCTGCTTATGCCTCTCTTTTTCCATAACATCAAGGGATCTACAGCTGAAAGAAATCATGGATACTCTCACTTTATAAGAAACAGGCCTAGAGAAGGGAAATCAGTCAGGCAGGCAGGCAGTCAGTAAGCATTTATTAAGCATCTACTATGTGTCAGGCACCATCCTAAGCAAAAGACAGTCCCTGCTCTCAAGGAGCTCAGTCTAATGGGGGAAACAAAATGAAAACCACCATGTACAAACAAGATGGTATATACAAGATAAACTGAAGACAAATCAATAGAGAGAAGACACTAGCATTAAAGGGGATCAGGGAGTAATTTGCCCAAGCTCACAAAGGCTTCTAAGTATACAAGTACGATTTGAACCTAAGTCATCTTCAAATCCAGGGCTCTTTCCATCATCAAGTAACAAATATTTATTAAGCACTTATTATATTATGTGCCAGGTACTGTGCAAGGTGCTGAAAAGGAGATCATCAGAGAGATGGGGGAGGGAGAGAGACAGAGAGAGAAAAAGGGAGGGAGGAGAGAGAAAGAGAGAGAATGAGAAGAAATCGATTATACTTAACTTGTGGTTAAAATATGTATTTTTAAGTTTATGTTCCCCAGCTCAAGAACTCCTAATTTAGGCAAATGACAGTAGTGGATAGACAGCTGGAACTGGAGTCAGGAAAACTCCTCTTCGAGAATTCAAATTCGACTTCAGAGATCTGCTAGCTGTGTGACCCTGGGTAACTCACTTAAACCTGTTTGCCTCAGTTTCCTCATCTGTAAAAAGAGCTGGCACACCACTCTTTGCGAAGAAAACCCTAAATGGGGTCACGAAGAGTCGGACATGACTGAAACGACTCAACAACAGCAACAAAAATGGGGATAACAAAACTCTCCTCATTCATTCACCCATTTACTTATTTCCTCTTCCCCCACTTTCCTCTCCCTCCTTTAGCCTCACGCTACCTCACGTAGGGCGGGCAGACGCAGAAGGCGTCTGCTGTGATAGGCTCGCTAGCCCTGCCCTTTATCCGTTTCGTAAAGAAGGGTGCCGGGACAGGATTGGCGGAAAGAGCCGTCGTCACGGTAACGGGAGGCGCAGCGGGGAGGGGGGTTTGGGGAGCAGGGGAAGGATGAATTCTACATTCGGGCGGCGACGGAGGGGGGCGGGGGGAGGGGGGAAAGCAGAACTGTAACGGATTCAGTGGGGCATCGAATCCGGTGGTGGAGCTCACGGTCGCTTCAACTCGGGTGAAGGCAGGGTTTCGACCCTCGCGACTTCCGCAGGACCGAGGCCGGTGCCGTGGTTTGGGGGCAACCTTTTAGAGCCTCGGGGCACTAGAAGCACCCTGCAGGGGGCCGAGTGGTCCCTGCAGTGCGCAGGCGCAGGCTGGTCCGCGAGACCCGGCCCACCCGGGACGGGGAGGAAAGGGGGGAGGGGTGGAAAAGGGGGAGGAGGAGCCCACGGCGCCCGGAGTCTGTATCCCGAGCTCAGGCCGCATTTCAGACCAGGTGGAGGTGAGGGAGGAGGCCCCACAACGACTGGGAGCTTCACGGTCAACTATGATGGACACTGTAGAAGAAGAAAACTTCGCGCTGGCCATGTGAGTAACCCTGGCAACAGCTTCGCCCAAAAGCCCCAACTTTTTGGAGGAGGTGAGGATGGGGGAAGGGAAAGTTGGTTCTTAGGCAGCTACCAGACAGTGTGCAAGATTTTCACAAGGATTGTCAAAAGATGCAGTGCACCAGGAGCCCCCCAATGCTTTTAGCTACACGAGGAGAGATTGCGAGGTGCTGGAGTGGAAAGAGGAATGAATTTGGCCCTGGGTTCAAGTGCTGCCCCAGTATGTTTCCTGGGTGACCAGTCACTTAAACTGCTTTCTGAAGCAAGTTTCTCATTCGTAAAATGGGGGCAAGGAGGGAGGAAGGTGGGTGTGGTCTCACCCTTTTTCAGTCTGTGAGCTTCTGGTGGGCACAAACTGAGTTTGGTGGGGTTTTGTTTTGGTTTGTTCTGTTTTGTTTTGCCTCTCTTTTTATCTCTGATGCCCGGCATGTAAGGAGGCACATAATAAATGCTTGTTGATTTGTCCCTTTTGTGTCATGGATGGACCTTGTCTGGTGAAGCCTATGGGCCCCTTCTCAGAGTAATGATTAGCAAAAATAAAGATGAAATTTTCTTTTTTTCCCCATCCAAGTTCAAGGACCTCCCTGAATCTATCTACAGACCCCTGGGCAAGAACTCTTGGTGTAGTAGAAAGATCTGGAGTCACAGGATGGTATATCTGGATCTGAAAGGGACCTGAGAGGCCATCTAATCCAACCTCATTTTACAGATGAGGAAAAGTGAGGACCAGAGGGGTTAAAGGAATTGCCCAGGATCACACGGGGTGGTAAGTAAGCACCAAAGGTGGGATTTGAACTTTTGGCCTCTAACTCAAAAAGCAGTAATCTTTCCATTGTACACCACTGCTTCTTGGATCAAAGGACCTAGGTTTGAATCCTGATTCTGCTACTTAATACCTGTTTGATCTCCAGCAAGTCACTTCTTTCCCCTCTGGACCTCAGTTTTCTTATCTGTAAAGTGAAAGCGTTGAACTCAATGGCCTGTATTTGTACAACCAAGGGGCTAAGAATGATCTTTATATTTTTTTTAATACAGTAGAAAAAAATTTAATGTACAAGTTCATGCTTAGCTAGCAGGCAAGCAGCCATAGTTTAGTGACCACTGGATTAAGTAATTTTCAAAGATTCCTTCCAGCTTCTGTTCCTACAGTTTGGATCTTCTCATTAAGTTGGGTAAAAGAACTTTAGAAGAAAGCTCTCTTAGAAAAAGGTATCCAAAGAATTGAGTAGATTTCTATACTGTATTGAAACTCAGTAGGTTTCATCCTGCCCACTCAGTGTTTCAACCCTGAATGCCATCCCTTCGGCCAACCAGTGATTTCTCTAGTACAGTAGTGTATGTTGTCATGGAATTTTTTATACCACCATCACAATGGGGACCAGCCTATCTCAAGCCAGTAATATTCAAACTCTGTCATGAAATCTAACTGATTACAGTTACCTTGATAGCAACATAGGAAGAACGGGTCCCCTAAGGTAACCAAAATCATACAGAATTTGGGGAAGTTCCAAGTCAGCTCTTTGAGTTATACTCCTAAACAGGTGACCAACTTCAGCTGTGGTACTCAGGTTTTAATGCTCCAGATTGTATAAGCAGATAGTTTTGTACTAGTTTTGGGGTCAGCTTCAAAGATGCGGTAAGTAGAGCAGAGCAAGGATTCCTTGCTTAATTAAATAGTTATGTTGCCAAAAAGTTGTATGATTCAGATCTATAATTAAAGGAACTCTGTAGTGACTCCTTTTATTGCTTATTATTTCAGAAAACCTTATGTAAAACAATTTGGTCTTTAAAGGCAGGATGTAACTATAATAGGCATTTAAATTTTTTTTTTAAATCTTGCAAATATAGATAATTTCTCTTTAAATATCTTTTGATTATTAGAATTAAACCAGTTATTTGATAAACGGTCTGACTTATAATCTTGATATTAATTTTTAGTTCTTCCGCTTCTGATGCAGAATTTGATGCTGTAGTTGGATGTATAGAGGACATTATCATGGGTAAGTTTCATTTATAAAAGAGAAAAATAGATACCTCAACTAAAACAAATTAAACTTTGTGCATAAAAAAATACAGACTCCTCCCAGTGTTAAAAAGAAGATAATACATCCTGGCTTAGAGATTTTTATTCTGATGCAGTACATTGTCAATAGAATTGGAATTCCAGAATTGAAAGAGATTTTAGCTCACATTCTCACTCCCTGCAGTACTCTTCTGTGCTGCATATCTGAGGATAGGTGGCATTCTCTTCTCTGCTTGTATATTTCCAATAACAGAAAAGTCATTACCTCACAAGACTGATCCTTTCAAATCTATCTTTTCTCACCATTTTGGAAAATTAACATCACTGTAGTTTAGTCAAAAGAACTTTGGACTAAGAGTAATAAGACTGATGTTTTAGTCCAGCTTTGCTATTTTGACCAAGTTATTTCTTCTGTGGGTCTTACTTCATTTCTGTAAAAAGAGGGAGGCTGGATTTGATGACTTCTAAGGAATATTAAAACTTTAAGGTTCTATTTTAGTTAGAGTTTTGTAATACAACAATATTTAGCATTGCCTTCCTTGGATCCTGTGAACTCTAAGGTGACATAATTTTCACCCAGGTTTCCCATTGCTTTTGCAACACAAAGCAGTTCCTTGTTGGTCAAGATAAGGTCTAGAGCAGGGATTCTTAACTTTTTTTGTGTCGTAAGCCTCTCTGGCCTTCTGATGAAGAAGCCTATGGCCCCCTCCTCAGAGTAATATTTTAAATGCATAAAAAATACATGAGATTTCAAAGGAAACCAATTATATTGAAATATAGTTGTCAAAATATTGAACGTTCTACATTCACAGACTCCCTGAAATCTGCTCCCCCCCATCTAGGGGATAGATTAGCAATCTAATTAGCCCCCGAGAGGTCCAGGGACCCCCATGTTAAGAAGGCAAGTCAAGAACTTACTACAAGCTGAGCTAGAATGGAACACTAGGCAGTTAAAGTTCCCCACCTTTGCTTGCCTCTGGCGCAATTTTGTGATCATCTTTTTACCTTGAGGCGGTGCATAGTTAAAGGAATACTGTACTTAAAATCATAAAACATAGTGTGAAATCCTGAATCTTTGGCTTCCTAGCCAGAGGACTTTAGGCAAGTCACTTCAGGTCTCTGAGCCTTGGCTTTCTTCGTCTGTGAGAGAGGAAAAATAATACTCTACCTCATAGGGTTGTTGTGAGGGAAGTACTTTGTAAATTTTAGAGTACCATGTAAACATGAGCTAATATTATTGAAATTATCCTAAAACTATCCCGATATTTGCAGTTTATTCCTTTTGTTTTCATTTAAATGCTCTTCCTGTGCTTCAGTGCTCATGTTTGGGAATATCTGTTATTGGAAATAACTTTTTGGCATACAGTGGTTATTCCTTCATGATGTTCTTTTTCTTTTGAATGAGTATATCTTGCTGCTGTTCTCCTTATAAATAAAGTCTGCTAAGTCATTCATTTTTATTGTGATAACTGTACCTGATCTTGAGATGAATTAATGCTTCTATGGTTGTACACAGTTGCTTATTCAGACTGAACTTTCCATTGTAATTGATGTTAATTTAAATGACCTCTTTCCATAGGGTGGCAACATTCATTCATTCAAAGTTTAGTTCGGAACTGATTATATGAATAGTTCAGTCAAAATGCCCATTGGCTTAAGTTATCAATGATGATTGTCTTAGGTCTCCATTTTTATCTTGACAGTAGAGATGCCCTAACTTGTATCAGCCATTCAAATTTTCATGGATTTAATGACCTCAGCCTTGAGAGAAATTAGATCAGATCTAGACAAAATTAGAAAGATAGATAAAAATTTAAATAAACATTGGAAATCTTGGGAACAGACCTGCAGTCAGAAACTTCATTGGAAACAGTTAGGTGGCACAATGGTTTAAAGTGTGGAAAACAGTCAGACCAGACTCTGAATGTTACCTCAGAACTGTGTAACAGGGATCAAATCACTTAATGTCTCTGTGCCTCAGTTTCCTCATCTGTAAAATAAGACAGTTGGACCTAATGGCCACTAAGCTCCCTCCTAGCACTAAATCTGTAATCCTTTGACACTGGGTGGCTGGGTGCCTTGATGGATTTTTGGGGGGAGGGTGTCCTTTTCAGAACATTTTATTTACTATTAGGGATGGAGAGGGCTCAAAACTAAGCTTCAGGTTTCAGTATCTTTTTTCTCAGATGAAATTAGCACAGTGGTACTCTTGCATATTAATAGATTTTTTTCCTTTAAAAAACATCTATAATCAGTGTGCTATCAAAGTGATATTAATGATGAGCTTTGACTATTTACTGCAGACTTCGGGGCTTCTTTTCCTAACAGATATAATCCCGAGATATCAACTTCAAAGCATGCCTTTTATTTTTAAAGGTGGAATTTGAATTAATTGGAAAACTGTAAATTCCCTCTTGAAGAGTTTTCTAACAAGGATCTTGTACTTAGACTGTGAAATGAGTGACAAAACTGGGGAATGTGTGCCAATTAGTTCCCTCAAAGAGAAATGAAGACGTAGGAGGATTTCCTAGGCCTTCCTGTATGTGTTTAAACTGTACTCTGTTTGCCCATTAAGATACTAACGTGCTATTCAACTTAATCATATTGCCCAATTGAAATAGCCGCCAGCTTTCTTTTCTCTTGGGATTTGCCATTAAGGAAGTAGTTTGTAAACAGAGAAACTGCCAGTTGCAGGGACTAGTTTCAAGTAGAATTTTTCTTTTATTTTGTTCTAATTTTACACATGCTAACCTAGCTTTCTACCAAAATGCTTTTTGGTGTCTGTTAATTTTTTTTATTCCCTGAGTGAATTCACTGCTTGTTGGATTTAAAGCAAACTTAAGTTTTAGAGTGAGTTATAATTCATAAAAGTGTTCAGGTAATTGACAGTTTCTAGCCTTTAACTGGATTCATTTTATCCTTTTTTTTAAACGACCTTAATGGCTTCACTGCAGATGGCGAGTTCCAGTTATTACAGAGAAACTTCATGGAAAAGTACTACCAAGAGTTCGAAGACACAGAAGAAAACAAACTCATCTATACGCCTATTTTTAATGAATATGTAAGTTTGTTTCCTTTTTTTCTCTTTCCAAGAGATTAGACGTTCTTTGAATTTAGACCTAGAACAAAAAGGTATCAGCAGTATTCCATGTCTTTTTTAAAATAAGTTTTTGTTGGTCCCTTGTTTTTACATTACCTAGTCCCACTTTATTTCTCCCCTTACATTCTTCCAGAGACCATTCCTTATAATAAAGTATTAAGAAAGGAAGAAAGAAAAAAAGTTCTGCAAAATTAAACACCATATTGAAAAAGGCTGCCATTATATGCAGTATCTCAAACCCATGGGTCTCCTATTTCTGTAGAGGAGCAGTGTACCTCATGTTTTTTAAAACATAACTTTACTTTGATAAACAGGCAAGTTAAGTGTTTGAACCCTAGTTGAGTTTCTCTTTCAGCTCCTGTTAATCATTCTTCACCTTACCTCCCATTTCCTTCTTTCCAAAAAACTTTCATCAACATGTCTGGGAGAGTTCATCAGTTTCTTATTTTAAAAAACAATGTTGGTGTCGAATATCCTCCCACTATGATCCTGTCTTCATTTACCATGTACACAAGTCCAGTCAAGAGTAATAATAGCACTTTTTACTTTTCCAAATTCTTTCACAGTTTTAATTTTACTAAAATTGCAATAAATTCTTATAATTATACAACAACTCAGTAGGTAGGATAGTTCTTATAGTCCCTTTTTGCGTATTTGAAAACTAAGACATAATAAACATATTTAAGCTTTGCCTAGGGTCACCCAGAAAGTTGGTGGTAGGACTAGGGACTCTGCTTCAAGTCTCTTAAATTCTACTCCAGAGCTCTTTCTGCTGACTCAGATGCTTCACTTGATTTCAGTAGGATTAGTTAGCCTAATTTAGAACAGGTTTTAGCCTCAGGGACTTAATTTTCTTAACACAGAAGCTAGAAACTAAATAGCTAATTAAACAATCAAGTTAGAAGGTTTTATCAAGTAAAGATATTTGTGTAAGTGTACCCTGTGAAAATAGGGTATGTAATTACAAAGGCATATATATATAGATATATCTATATATAGTTATATATAGATATATCTATATATATCTATCTTTAGGAGTAATGATGGTTATGTTTGCATTATATATCAGCTGTTGATGCACAAAGAAATGTTCTCAGTTAAAGAACATTTACTTTCTTTGAGTATGACTAATCAGGAGACTTTCAAATCTTTTAGATCTCTTTGGTCGAAAAATATATTGAGGAACAGCTGCTTGAGAGGATTCCTGGGTTTAACATGGCCACTTTCACTACGACATTGCAGTAAGTGGAGCCTGAGATGTAGGGCTCTTCACCTCTCCTCTTCTACTTCACATGTCTTAGTGGTGAAACAGCCAGAGTACTGTGTAGAGAATGTCTTGGGGTGGTAGAGATATCTTTTAGGATGTTGAAAAATAGTCAGAGGAAGACTTTAAAATTTAATCTGAGTTCTAAAATTGCTAACCTTTCCATTAATAGACAGCATAAAGATGAAGTAGCAGGTGATATATTTGACATGCTGCTCACATTTACGGATTTCCTGGCCTTCAAAGAAATGTTTTTGGACTACAGAGCTGTAAGTAGCTTCCACCATTTAAATAGCTCTTCTGCAGCTGTAGGAATTTAATTCAGTTTAACACAGTAAGCACCTACTGTGTGTAAGATACTGTGCCAGGCTCTGGAGCTAACAAAGATGAAAAATGGTCCCTACTCATAGGACATTAGTCTTCTACTGGGGATACAGTACCTAAACTGAGTGAATGCAAGATAATTTGAAGAGGAAATGGAAAGCAGTCACAATATACCCTAGATAAGGTCCCTACTGTGGACCCGTCATATAGAAACACTATGCCTTACCCACTTCCATCCTGTAATGCTGATCTAGTCTGGGTATTATGCAGTTAATGGTGATGTTTAGCAGTCAGTGACCCACCAGATCTATCTGATGCTAGGTCACATTTTTATTTTAGTGATGATGCATGTGAGTGCAAACCTAAGAAAATGATCTCATCTCCCACTTGGGCTGGATTTTCCTGGGTGTTCATATCTGAGGTTGTGCTTTGAGTTTTTTAGGGAAAGAAAATATATTTTATTTTGGAGGAATCTTACCAGAGTTGATCTTGGGAAAATTATAATATGAACAGTGATTCCCCTCCCTTTTCTTTTGGGTCTTTCAGCATACATCCCTAAGAGTATAGTTTTTCCTCTGGACGAAGCCAACATCTATTAATCTCATTCACATTAAGCTATTAGGGAGTGAAATATCTTACTTTCCCAAGGAATTTTGACTCTAGAGTTAGGAAGGACTTCACTGTTGATGTTTTTCAAGACTTTTGAATCTTTTGTCACATTAAAGGGTTGTTTTTTTTCTTCTAAAGGAAAAAGAAGGCCGAAGTCTAGACTTAAGCAGTGGTTTAGTGGTGACATCATTATGCAAGTCATCTTCCATACCTGCTTCCCAGAACGATTTACGGCACTAGTTCACATTCTCTGGATGAGAGTTTATCGTCTTGGACATTCCAAACTTGAAGGATGGTGAGTGACTGCAGCGTGATGAACAACATGCCCAGTGATTGGGGAATACAGCTGGAAAAGACTGACCTTGTTCTGGTGCTTTTAATTAATGTTAAATGTAGAGTGATCATAAAGAACTCTGCTGGAATATTGGCTTCTCACAAAATATCCCCATTAGCCCTAGTACACCAGCCAAAGTGACCTCAGCCCCCAGGTGCTTATGACAGAGTTAGGGAAAGAAAATTTGTGTGTGTGTGTGTGTGTGTGTGTGTGTGTGTATACACTTGTGCACACTTTGGAGTGAAATTACATTGCCCATTTCAGTTGTTGCTCCCTTTCAGTATGTTGGGGGTAGGGGACCCAGAAGGAGCATGTTAGCAGCACATGTTTCTCTTAAATCATAACATCACAACTCATGTTTCCCATCCCAAACACGGACAGGTTTTCCACTCACATCTTTGTGACACAAGGCTGTCTTTTCCTGGTATACATTTCAACCTAAGGAATCCTATTCCTATATGTTTTATGGTATCTTTTTGACAGTGTTTGTTCATCTAGGGACAATTATTCAAACCCAGCTCATTTTCTTAGAGATTTATGAAGTTGATGTTTTAACTTTCTCTCTACTGTATTAGCAATGTTGAGGAACACAAGGTTTAACTGAGAGTTTTTCCCCAAACTAAAATGTTTGCCTAGAAGTAAAATATATAAACCAACTCATAGTCTTAGGTTTGTAAAAATCTTGTGACCTCAGCATGACCTTGTGCTTGTCCTTATAGTAGCAGTCTCATTTTGTCTAGCCAAAGCACCCTTTGAGAATCTACTAACAGTGTACATTTTCGCAGCAAATTCTAAGATCTTGTGAATTTGGTTTGGGCGCTTCCGTGAATGTCCAGTTAGGAAGAAGGCTAAGTGTTATGTTGTAAAACTTTTTAGGTTTAAGCTATTCTTGGGTGAAAAGTTATCCTACGTTGTTACTCCATTTCTTCTAGAAACCCTACAGATTACATACTGAGGTCTGATTTATATTGAAAAGGAGGGACTGAAATGTGTGCTTTTTTCATAATGTTTCCATGGTTAATATAAATTTGTTAAAGTCCTATGCATCAGAGATCAGTTTTTCCTGCAAAAGAGTGTGAGTCCTAAACTTGTTAATATTCTCTCTCCTCGTAAAACCTCTCCTCCCAAGATGGTGTTCCATTGGTCCACATGAGTGAATAAGATGAGGAGGAAGTAGGCAAAAGCTTGAATTATCATGTCTGCTTTTTTCAGTTTAGAAAAATACTCAGTTTTTCTAAAAAGCAAAGCTCTAAAAGCAAAGCTTGAATTATCATCTCTGCTTTATTCAGTTTAGGAAAATGTTCAGTTTCTCTAATAATTGTCAAGGTACTGATAAGAAAATGCATATGTCAAAACACTTTGGAGAATAGAAAAGATGTAAGTGGCTACCTGACCTTTAAATCAAAAACAAGACTATTGAATTTTAATTTGACTGTTCCAATTTTAAGGCATGGACTGAAGATTATATCTTTTAAAAATGTATATATATATATATATGGATACATTTATATACATATATACATGTGTGTCATGTTTTGAGAAACATGGCTTGGGTTGATTTTTTTTTTTTTTACCATAAGTGTAATCTGACACACTTTGCCAGAACATCAGATACTCCAATATTAAAGATCATTCTTTCTTTAACTCTGTCCTCAGGTGACTGTTTTTGGGGTTTGGAAGTAAGCTGAATACTCCAGTTTTGAAAGTTATTAGTTTGTCCAGCAGGCATCTTTCCCCTGAACCTTGTTGGAATTATTCTTATTACCAGTGGGAGTATCTAATGCCTGAGTCTTCAAAAAGTACTTGCTGTTTTATCAGGTTTAGAAATTGTAGCTGGACAGGTCTGGTGCTGACTTAGACATGAATCAGCCAGTAAGTATTTGTCAAGTTCCAATGTGCTTGGCACTGTGCTAAACACCGGGGATACAAAGACAAGAATAAAATTTCCTCTGTCCCCAAGAAACGGTAATGAAAAAGATTAACTGTCCTTTTTGTTTTTTGTCACTTTTTAGGGAAGAATGGTGCCCATTGCTAGTTTAGATACTGCATGGGAGAGAATGGGCAGTAGAGGCACTCGAACAGGTACATGCCTATCTGTGGGAATGTGTAAAAGGTTGAGGATAAGGGGATAATGAAAAAACATATTTTGTTCCCATTTTGTTAAAAAAAAAAAAAAGAAACCCTAAGCAAATGACCTCTTCAGTAAACAGACACAAAGTATTGGGTAGGATGTTGATTAAAAAATGACTGGCTGGCTTGAGTGATGGCCACATTTGTGCCTAGTAGTGTCCTGGCACACAGCAGACTTTTAGAGCAGGGATACAGAGATTCAGGAGTTTTAAATCACTTTACCCTGAAAAGAAGCTTATGTGCTGCTTGGGGAACATTTCAGCAAGACTTCTTTGATCTCACTTCCCATGTTAGTAATGAAACAGCCCATCCTCGGCTTAGTCGTGTGTCATGCATGTTATTCAGACCACATGTATTTGTGTATGATCTTTTTTTTTTTTTGGCTACGCAATGGGGTTAAGTGACTTGCCCAGGGTCACATCGCTAGTGTCATGTATTTGAGGCCCGATTAGAACTCAGGTCCTCCTGAATCCAGGACTGATGCTCTATCTACTGTGCCACCTAGCTGCCCGATGATCATATTTTTAACATCTGAGCAGGGAAGACAAGTGAAAGTAGGTGTATTTTATTTAAAGAACTTTTAGAATGTGCCGTCAAATTTTAGCCCTGGCTACTCTTCAAAACTTGGGATATGTCTAATAAAGGACAAAAGTTGAAAGTAAGGGTCACAATTACTCCCAGTTTATACCTTCTCTATTAATGGCCTTTTGAAGGAGTCATGTAGGTAACTTGAAGGTGATGTCAGGCTATCGGTAATTTATATTTAGCCAGTGCCCTTGTACTAAGTCTGTAATAAGTGTGAAGGAAGATTCATGAGACCAACATGTGACCAGGTCCCACAAAGTGGTGGGGCTGAATTAGAGCCTTTTCCAGAGCATGTGATGTTTACTTATAAGACTTTGGCTTCTTTTTATTTTGTCCTTTCTAAGCCATGTAGCTTCTATAGTTTTGTTTAATATGAGATTGTCCCTAAGAATACAGGTTTAGACTGGATATTGTTTATAGTTCAGTAAGTCATATTAATCTGTTCTACTTGAGAGCTGTCATTCTTTTAGCTTGGAAAATTAGTTTAGATTGATTAATCCATCAAAGCTTTGGGCCAACGTCATCTGCCTTCTTAATTCTTTGTCTCTCTGGTCTCAGTCTTATCTCACCAGTGGAGCTCAGTTGGGACATGGCAGAGGACCTTTTTAAGTAGGTCAGCAGTATGAGCAATCCTCCTTTATTCTGACCTCGTAGACGAAAAGGAAAACATCCAAGCAATGGCCTTCATTAGTAGTAGGGTCTTAGAATCCTTAAAAGAGATAATACCAGAGTACCCTTCCAGTATATAAGTGCAAGGAGGAGGACTGGGGATCCCGGGAAGGGAGTCACACTAGGAATCACACCAAGCCTTAGCATTCACAGTGAGAAAATAACACTTTTCCCACAGCACCTATTAGTGACAAGGATAGTGAAGATATTGAGGCCAGAAGAATCACTCAGCCCCAAAAAGCTAGAAATCAAATTAGTCAAAAGGCAACAATATCATGGAGCCATTTACAAAAATTTCCATCCACATCTCTTCCAAACAGATGTTTCCAAGGTCTTTATTTATGTACAAAGAACAAAATCAGTATTATCCAACAATCAGGCAAGCTTGTGAGTCACCCACCCCCAAATCCATAGCCTTTGGGCTCAGCCAGTGGTGTCAGGAAGGAAATCAGTCTTGGTATTTAGCTTTTTCAAAGAGGATGTATAGGTGAAAATGATGTTTTAAAGTATAAGGAAATAACTGGACAGCAGGTGTCTTTGAGAAGCAGGTAAAAATAGCGTTTCCATTAAATACAAGCTTCTAAAATGTGAAAATCCTCATGGAGATGCCACCTATATATTAGTGAGACCTTAAACTAGTACCTAAGCACTATCTTATTTTAGTAGCCTTATTAATGGGGTTTATTTTTATTTTTAATATCTTATAGGCCTTTCTTTGCCTTTGTCCCTTAACTAGCCATGGATGTTATGAAAGTAAAGATGACAGTTTGTTCCTTTTTCCATTGAAATAGAAAAGGAGAGTTTACATTGCTTAGATACTCTCTGTATAACTCCAACTTTGGCTTTTTGTTTGAGGTGAGACCAGCTTTTGGGTGCAGATTTGAGAAATTCCTGTAGCAACTTTGAGTAGCTGAAGTCTTTTCACAAAACTATGAGACTACTACCATTACTACAGTTACCTTTACATTGTATACATGATAGGATCACAAATTTTGAGGTGTTATTTGTTAGCAGATTTAATGCTGGTAAAAGGGGTTGAATTCCTGGCCCTGGAAACAGAAGCCTTACAAGTTCAAAGCAGGGATGGCCACAACCCCACTTCCTGAGAGGTGGCCTTCCCTGACTAAAGGGATGGTGAGGTCGTTTAACATCCTTGACCCTTTCATTCTTTGGACTTTTCCCTGCCCCTGCTCACAAATGCCAATTGTGCCAATCCAGGGTGGTGGATTGTGTTCCATTAGGAGTGGAGTGAGAGCACAGATTCCATCAGCAGAGGATAGCAAATTTGGTCACAGCTGGGCTGGTTTTCTGCTAGTTATAGCCTCCTGGTGTTGACCAGTGGTATCCAGGCCCCTACATGATGGCATGTAGACTTCAGTACCAAGGTGGTCCATGGGCATTGCTGGATTTAGGAATAGCCACCAGCCATCTGGCTAGTGGCCGCATTGCTGCCCATTCCTTTCCAGGCTCGGAAGGTGAAGAAAGCACTCACTCCATAGGCGATCATCACTACACATGCAAAGAACTGAGAAGAGAAACAGAGAAATGGACTGGTAATGGATGAATCAGCTTTGTGGATGTCATAGGGAGAATGAGACAACAATCTGCTTGATTTGATTAGCAAATACAGTAAAACTTTGATGAATTAGAGCAGGCAGTTAACCAGAACTTTAAAACATCAAATGACAGTGAGATAAACCGAAGTTGGGGATCTGGTATAGTGGTAAGAGTCAGGAGACCTGGGTGCTGTCCTAGTTGTGCCACTAACTTTCTCTGTGATATTGGGTAGTTATTACTTCTCCTGGGACTCCTTTCCAAATACTCTGTAAAATAATGGAATTAGATAAGTGATCTAAGATTCCTACAAACTATATTTAGTCAAAAGAACGGGGAAGGGGGGGAACTTCCAGGGTGATGTCCTAGCATCAATCCAGATTTAACCCAACCTCTTGCATCTGTGAAGGGAAGATTAACGCACCTAGTCTAGTTGTGAAATGCTTATTTTAAAAAAAAATCTATTCTTCCCAGTTTCTTATATTAGGAAAGTAGGCTCTAGAAAACATTTTCAACAAAATATGAAGATTAATTTAGTTGGGAGCCACCCATTCCTTAGCATTCTGGTTAATTGAAGTTTCACAGCAGACATCTTTATTAAATATAATCAAGTTAGAAATCATATCTCAGTCCCCTTTGCATTATTAAGAAAAAAAGGAGTTGATAACTACAAAATAAAATGGGTTTGACAGGAATGGAAAATAGTCCTGCCGGTGCACTTTTCCTTTGACCAAATTTGTGATTTGAATTCTGGATCCATAACCATGTCGGGTCTTCTCCTCCCTCCTCCTCCCACCCAGCACTCACCCTCCATGACTGTAGAGGAGAAGACCAAAGGGGAACCAGGCACTTACAGAAGCAGCAGCCCTTTTGTCGAATATATAGGAACCAGCTATTGATGTTTTTTGAACTGCAACTGCACTGGTGATGAATCCAGTAATGTAGAGAATTGTGGCACTTATATTAAATATCATTAGCTGGGGAAAAAAAAAGATGAAAAAAGCTTAAAACAAGAGGCTCCAGTTCCAGCAATCTCAAAGGTTTATCCTCTTCCCAAAAGGTAACATCACATCCCACCTCCAACACTAGCTGGTAACATGACAAAGGCAAATCACAACTGTTATTTCATTTTCTTGTGTAAAATGAGGGTAGTCCCTGTAGCACCTTCCTCTAATAGAACTATGAGGATCAAATCAGGAGTGTGTACAGTGCTTGGCAAACCTTAAAGTATGACATCCTAGCTGTTTTATTATTCTTGGGATTTGATTTTCACTATTTTAAGAATGTACTTATCATCTGAAGCCTGACAGACAAAATTTTCACAACACTTAGCCCAGAGCCAGCAGTAGTAGGATTGACCACCTGCCCTCTGACTCCTTATAAACTAGAATATGTTGTTGAGGTATTAGAAGATGCCAAAAGAATGTGTACTGACCCTTTGTCACTCTTAAGCCACTCAGCTGAAAGCTTTAATGCACAAATTTAGCATAACAGTATATTCGGATATGGAGACCACACATGAAGAACAAACATGTCCTGTCGTCAAAAATGATTCTATTATACAGCAAGCTAGGAGTGCCTGGGGCAAGTCACAATATCTGTACGTCTTGAGTTTCCTCATCTGTAAAATGGAAATGACATAACTTGTTCTACCAGCTTCCTGGACTAGATGTGAAAATGAGATAGGAGGGATCTAAAAGTCCTTTGCAAAAACTAAAGCACTGTATCACTGTGATCCAGTATCCTACTTGTGGGGAACTGGACTAGCTTAAAAACCCACCCAGCATTCCATCTCCCTGGTAAATTGTTGTTTCTGAGTATCAGCAATTATCATTTGTATTTCACCAGATGGTAAATAAAAGCCCACTCAGTCAAATGTAGGAAGCTGTGCTTATGCCCTGGCTTTCCTCTGGCTACAGAGTGAGGCTCATTAGGCAGCTGTCCCCCAGGGGCTCTGTTTTCAGGAAGGTTCCAAGAGTCTGTGGCAGGCACTCTCAAGTAGAAGCCACAGGACCAGGAAGAAAATGGAGCCTTCACTTTTTTACCCCACTAGGCATGCTATACAGGCCACAGGCTACATGCCCATGGATGGTGAAACTAGAATTTCATAGCCGAGCCAGTACGGAACCCCACATGATTCTGAGACGATAAGAGCCGAAGACAGTGGACTCTGCTCACGGGAGGCAGAGAAATGAAGACAACTGGGGGGGAGGCACGTGAGTCTAAAGTGGGACAGGAGTGGAAATAAAACAAATCTTTTACGTGATTTGTAACTTAACATAATAACTACTAGTCCATTCAAGAATGAGTCACCTACCCATCTGTCCCTATTATCCTGTTCAGCTAGGTAAGCACATATGTTCAAGAATTGCTGCATATTGGTCAACCAACAACCCAAAGAATCGGGGGCTGCAAAATCTTATCCCACCTCTGCCAGCGACATGCTTCCTCCCGAACTAAGCTAAGCACTACTTCTGTACCTTACTATCCCCAGCTGTAAAGTGAGTGGAGATAATACTGTTGTTTCAAGTAGGGGGTTCTCAGTCTGGGGTATATGCATCCACAAGGGGTTTGAGAAATGCGTTAAAAGGTGTATAGAGAATATTATTAAAATTAATTTTACTACTCCTTGTGACTGTCCATGATAACATTTCGTATGTTTCCTGTTGAATGTGAGGTTATAGGAAGGTTTGCTGAAAGCTAAGAGGTGCAGGGACTGAAAAAGTTGGCAATCTCTGGCTTAGAGGATGAGTTTGAAGACTACCTGAAGCCAATGATAACTAAAAGACTGCCAGGGACTAAAGAAATTCTAGGTTACTATTACAAGGCAAGAACTTCCTTCCTGGCCGTAAGGATTGCTGAGTACTAAAATTGGTAATTAAATGGGATTGTAGAAACTTTCCTGGAGAGTTGTGTTTTTTGTTTTTTAAGTCAGTTGCAGCCTTTCATGGACACAGGGGGATGGACAATAAGCCCTGGGATTCTGTGACTCAATTAAGTCCTCTTCGTAGCTCGAGGATTTTCCCTCCCAGTCCTGCCCTGCCAGTAGAAGGAAGACAGGCTTCTAATCAGTGATGTAAAGATTTAACAAAACAGTTCTGTCTCTGGGGATGACTCACATTTCCTAATTTTAAAAAGTCATTGAATTCAGAACAATGCTGCCTATTCCAGGCTTTGCTTATCTTAAGATCATGTGCCTCTTACCCTTTGAAAGCTCCAGATCCCAGCTGCAGGGATTCTTTGGATCACAAATACAAATAAGGAGGCCGTGGGGGAAGCACAATAATGAGATCACATTTTTTTGCAGAGCTGAATCAGGATACAGAGGATCAGTGAACTGTGTTACATTCATGTCACAATCATGGGTGAACCCTTCTGGGCGAACTTCCTCAGACAGCAAGCTCTGCCTTTGATGTTTTCCTTGTGGTCCCTTGGGTAGGGGGTGTGAATCGATGAGGATAATGCCAGTTATATATAATTAGGAATACTTCCAGCCCTTTTGCTCTACCTCAGGCATCCACAGCAAGCTCATTTCTCTACTACAAATGAAATCTGGGTGCCAAATCCCCACAGATGCCAAAACAGTATTTTGACTCACATTTAAGGCTTTACTAATGTGATCTTAATCACCAAAGGCCCAGCAGTGGCATAAGTTTGACTTAGGAGGACCTAAAGGCAAAAATCCACCTACCCCCTTGCAATTTAAAATTGCCTTTTAATTGCAAAATATTGAAGGGCCACATCATTTCAAGTTCTTTACCTGGGAGGCAATTCAAACCTTTGGCCTCTTTGACAAACTAGTGACAATCCTTTTAAATATTTGAAATGATAATTCTTTTTGCCTTAATTCTCTTTTTCTGAAATACAAAGAAAATGGAAGGGAATAAGTATTTATATGGTACCTACTATGTAGGGAGGTGAATAGGTATTTATATAGCTCCCACTATGTGCCAGGTACTATGCCAAGTGCTTTTTATATGTATGTCATTTGATATTCACAACCACCCCATAAGGTAAGTACTATTATTCACATTTTACAGTTGAGAAAACTGAGGCAGATAGGTTAAGTGACTTGTTCAGGGTCACATAGCTAGTAAGAATCTGAGGTCAGATTTGAATTCTGGACTGCCCGACTCCAGGCCTAGTGCTCTATCCACTGCTTCCAACAGCCACAAAACTATTCATATGAATCAGTATCAAAGCTACCAGTATGGTCCAGAGTTGGGTCCTCTAAGAGGATCCTGTGTTCCGATTCCACCTCTGATGCTTACTATACCTGTCTGACTTTGGACAAGTCACTTAACGTCTTCAAGCCTCTTCATCTGTAAAGTGAGAGGATTGGACTAGATGATTTTTTTGGGGGGAGGGGCAGGCAGTGGGGTTAAGTGACTTGCCCAGGGTCACACAGCTAGTAAGTGTCGAGTGTTTGAGGCCAGTTTTGAATTCAGGTCCTCCTGACTGCAGGGCTGGTGCTCTTTCCACTGACACCTAGCTGCCCCTGGGCTAGATGATTTTTTAGGTCCCTATAGACCTATAATCCTGTAAGCTATGACCTTATGGTCTAAGACCCCAAGATCCTTTCAGCCAATCCCTATCAAACTGTTCCACAAGGGTAGAGACATTGTCTTAGGTAAAATGTTTGCCACCTCTAGCATTAACCCAATGTTCTGTACACAAGTTTGTTTAATGAATTCAAGGCTCCAACCTTGTTTTGGTTAGTGGCTTTCAAGCCTCTTGACATTAACCCAAGAGATATAAAAGCCTAAATGTAACAGCTAATTTCAGAAATGCCTGTCCGCCAGGGACTTCACAGGCCACTCCCAGCACTCACCACCAAAGGCCAGGGTACCATGTAGAGTTTCAAATGTAGTCGCCACAGGTAGATGATGAAGAAGATGATTGTCACCAGCCAGAGGAAGACTGCTACAAACATCACCCAGCCATAGATTGAGTAGTAGTGATAAGGGGTGTCTGCAATCAGGGCCCAGACCAGCAAACCCACCACCTAGAAGGGCAGAATGAGAACACAGCATCAAGTCAGGTTCCCTGCTAGATGGATCACAGCTTGGGGGCAGGGGGTGGGAATCTCCATTTTTTGATTACCATCATACTGTGTATGCTGTAGAGATGTTTAAGCCTGTGTACCAGGGTCACTATCCTCTATTCCCACAGACTCACTGGATGGTAGGAAGAGTCCAGGTAATGTTATCTTCATCTTATGAATAGAGAACCTGAGGTCTAGAGAGGTTAAAGGAACTCATGGTCCCACATTGGAAGGGACCTACTTAATGTCATACCTGGAAACTTGGCTTCCCTGCTAGTGATCTGACTCTAGATTTAAGAACACCATCATGTTATGTATTTAAATAGCCAAAGGAACTGTTTTCACAAAACTAATATTCTCCCTAGCCTTGCCCTGGTGGATTCATGTGACTTAAGGCAAAATGCCTTTCTTGGAGCCTCACTTTCCTCATAAAATTGGGAGGTAGGGGGAGATTGGATTAGGTTACCTTTATGGTCTCTTCCAGCTCTGACATTCTTTGAGTCTCCAAGTTCAACTTGAGTGAATTTGTGACTGAGTTACACAGAGATTAGTAGCCCCCACATGACATGATTCTGCCTACACTGACTGCTTTTGGTAAAATGAACTCAGCACCTGGGGTCTCAGGAGCTCAGATGAACCAATTCTATCGTGTTTGAGCTCTGATAAGAAGTTTTAAGTTAGCTTTTAATAAAACTCTCTAAAGCTGAAAAGAAATCAAAATGAAAAAATAGCCCACTGATTGGGGAACAAATTGGCCGAACAAATGGCATAAGAATGTCCAGGAATGTAGGAATGATGATTGTGGAGATTTCAGAGGAATATGGAAAAACTTATATGAGGTGATACAGAGGGAAGAAAGCAATGATAAAGGAATCGTACATAATGACTACACTGTAAATAAAACTAACCAGAAGCAACAAAACTGGTCAAATACTGTAGTCAATGTTAGTGCCATATTGTCGAAGAAAAAGGATATGTCCTTTTCTATTCACAATTGATTAGTTAATGATTGGGGGTGGGGTGGAATCTGCTTTGTAGAGAAGTTTGTGGGTTTTGGGTTTGTTTGTTTTTTAATACCTGTTGTGTTAAACCAAAATCTGCTTCCACTGCAACTCAGTATCTTAGAGTTTCCTGGAGGAATTGAGAGGTTAAGTAAATAAATGAAAAAAGCATGTTTGTTTGTTTATTCATTTTAAAGTATTAGAGATGCAAATAGAAAAGCAAGCCTGTTCCTGCTCTCAAGTTCACATTCTGATTACTTGTCCAGAGTTACTAGGCCTGGAGCTATCAAAGGCAGACCAGCCTTACTTACTCCAAGACCAGCTCTCTCTACTATGCCACATGGTTTCTTATTGACTATTAAGAAGAAACAAAGCCACTAGCAGGGTTTCAGTATGCCTCCAGCCCAGGCTTCTAATTATAATAGGGGAACTGTCAGAAGTGGTCTGAGAAAGGTAGGGTTTAACAGTCCATGGACAGTAGCAGAGAAAATCCATTCCCTTGCCTTCCTTGCTTTCTCTTCTAAAGCAAGATCTATGATCTGCCCGGAAAACCGAGTGGCTGTGTTTTGCCTGAAAGCATGTAGCCTCCTTGGCCCATAACAGAGGCTTAAGCATCTGCCCTCAGCCGTAGTGTATTTTGTCCCCATGTCTCAGCTCTGGGAAGTAGAGCCTAAATGTGGTTATCAAACTCCTCTTCCTCCCTCACAGGTCCTAATGCTTTAACACAACAGTTTTGAGGGAGGGCCTATAAGGTCGAAACTTATCAAAATGATTCTAATATGTTTTAACTTCTAATGCAGTAAATATAGATATAACCCACACAAACAAAAGCTCTTTGAGGGGCACTCATTTTTTAAGAGCATAAAAGGGTTCCAAGATCAAAAAGCTTGAGAACTACTGTTTTAACAGCTACCAATTGTAGGGAAATCCAATCCTTACTATCACCATTCTCATCCTCCTTCTTCCATGGGGACAGGTACAAGGAGGCCTGCTACCACCCTTACTCCTCCTCCTCAGGACCCTTGCTTTCCAAAGCTTACAGTTGGAAAGGTCTTCAGAGGCCCTCACATCCAAGCCCATACCTAAACTCTACCCTGTTCAAGGTCCACATCTGAAGAATTGTGTTCAGTTCTGGGTGACACATTTTAGGAAGGACATCGATAAATTGAAGAGCATCCAGAGAAAATGATGAGGATGGGAAGGGCCTCCAGATCATGCCACGGGGGGGATTGGGGGTGTTTAGCTTGAAGAAGAAAAGACTCAGCAGGGACATGATAGTTACATCAAGAATTTGAAGGGGCCAATACATGGGAGAGGAATTAGATTTGTTCTGCCAGGCTCTGAAGGGCAAAATCTGCAGCAGTGGTTAGAAGTTGCAGAGAGTCAGATCTTGGGCCTAATTTAAGGAAAAATCTCCTAACAATTAGAACTATCCTAAAATGGAATGGTCTGAGGAGCTGGTAAGTCCCCCCTCACTAGCGGTTCCTGAAGACTGGATGACCACTTGTCTGTAAAATATGTTGTAGAAAGAAACCTTGTTCAGAAAAAAAAGGAAGATAGGCAACAGTCTCAGGAGAGTTTAATAAAGAGTAATTCAGACAAGAACAAAAGGACTGTGGTACAAGATCAAGCTTGGACCCAGTGGAGACTTGATAAAGTGAATTTATAATAGATTTATAGTAGGACTCTTTCCCCAGGGGAATTCAGTGCCTTGGGAACAGGAATGAAGAAGGCAGATTGTGGTCACAGAGGGTTGAGGATCGGCAGGCTTTCTTCAGATGGGCTTCATGGAACTGTGTGTGAAAGATAACAGCCTCCGCCCTTTGGGGACATGTGGTAGGAGAAGGTAGTAGAATTAGGCAGTCAATAAACATTTATTATACCTACTATGGTACCAGGCCTGGAGAAGGAAACGGCAAACCATTCCAGTATCTTTGCCAAGAAAACCCCATGGACATTATTGGCATGCTGTGGTTCACAGGGTCACCAAGAGTCAGATGTGAGTGAACATATGCTGGTCATTGTGCTAAGCACGGGGATACAAAGAAAGGCAAACGACAGTCCCTGCTCTCAAGGGGGCACACACAGTCTAATGGGGGAGACAACATGAAAACTACATACAAACAAAATATGCAAAAGATAAATATGAAGGAATCCAAAAGGAAGAAGGCTCTAGCATGAAGGGGGATCAGGAAAGGCTTCTTGTAGGGGGTAGGATCTTAGCTGGAATTTGCAGGAATCCAGGAGGTAGAGATGAGGAAGGAGAACATTCTGGGTATGGGAAATAGCCAGTAAAAATGCCCAGCGAGAAGACAGGAAAGTAAGAGGAGGCCAGATTGCCAAACAAAGGATTTTATATTTGATCTTGGAGGTGATAGGAAGCCACTGAAGCTTAGTAGTGGGGGGGAAGGGTGCGACATGGTCAAAACTGTATTTTAGGATGATCAATTTGACAGTTGAGTGGCAAATGACTGAGTGGGGAGAGACCTGAGGGAGGGAGGCTCACCAGCAGGCTATCGAAATAGTCCAGGTGTGAGGTGATGAGGGCCTGCATACAAGAGACCTTTGGAAGGTAAAATTGACAGAACTGGTCAACAGATTGGATATGGGGGTAGAGGAGAGTGATGAATTGAGATTAACCCCTAGGTTTTGAGCCTGAGTGACCTAGAAGATGAGTACCCCTTCAGTGACATTCTTCTCTTCCTCGGCTGTTGAGCTGCATATACACATCAGTATGTTTCTTTATACTGTTACATTTCTTAAACTCTCTTGAGTCAATTCTATCACAGCCCAGCTCCTTCCTTTGGAGCCAGGACTTTCTTTTGTCTTCCTTTGTATCCCCAGCACTTAGCACAGTGCCTGGGACATAGTAGGTGCTTAATAAATGATTGACTGACCACCTGTAAAAGAGGAATAATAGCCTCTGTCTTGCCTCCCTTACTAAGGGTGTTATGAGACACCAATTAAGTCATCATTGTTGGAAACAGGATTTGCTGACAGTTGCTGGTCTGTCATTTCAGTCATGTCCAATTCTTCTTGATCCCATTTGGGGTTTTCTTGGCAAAGATACTGGAGTGGTTTGCCGTTTCCTTCTCTAGCTCATTTTATAGATGAGGAAACTGAGGCAAACAGAGTTCAGTGGCTTGCCCAGTGTCATACCACTAGTAAGTGTCTGGGGCTGGATTTGAATTCATTTCTTCCTGATTCCATGTTCAGTGCTTTATCCACTTCAACACCTAGCTGCCCTTACTAACAGTAAGGCACTAGATAAACATGAGTTACAGTCATCATTGTAGTATTATTATCCCCATTTTACAGGTGAGAAAACTGGGACAAAAAGAGAAGTGACTTGCTGCTGGAAACAGGAGGGAGACCAATGCTAACTAAACTCAAGACCAGTATGTCTAGAATGTGGGATGCCAGAAGAGGATTAATGAGAAATAGGTCTCTTGAGGTAGGCTGGAGCCAGACTGAAGGGCCTTAAGTGCTAGGCTGAGAAGTTTGTATTTGATCTCCACTTCTTTGGCTCACAGTCCGGTGCTGCAGGTTCCAGGCCTTCAGAATTGGGCTTGGGCAAATCTCATTCTTTCCACCTCTTCCCTTCCTAACACCTGAGCCAGGTGTTAGCTGCCTGAGATTTCTGCCTCAGGGCAGAAGGTCTCCTTTAATGATTTAGACAGGGCAGACCGGTTTTTCTCCCTACTCCCTATCCCAGAATTCATGGATCCCTAGTTCACACTCAGACACAAGGGCTTTCCCCCTCAGACTACTTCCCCCATGCATCCATTCCCCTGAGTACACACTACAAACACAGCCCCTTAGGACATTCCACTCTGGGATCAGATTCCTCAACTGGATGTGGCAGGCAGATCACACTGGTCCTGCTGGGGTAAACAGAGTATGGGCTCCACCCAAGGGTAAGCTGGACACTGGCCAGCTCCTCCTGGCTGGTGTGGTTTC